TTATCTTACAAACGTCTCATATTGTGCGAAAGGCACTGTCTCTGTAAAAACCATCCTTGGTTGGGGTGAACTCCCCCTCAAAGATAGTACACCACCATACGGGAGGACTATGAGAATGAAAAAAAAAATAATAATAATAATAATTACAATAATTATAATAATAATATTAATAATAATAATTATAATAATATTAATAATAATAATTATAATAATAGTACTAATAATAATTACAATTATTATAATAATAATAATAATTGTAATAATAATAATAATTATTATTATAATAGTAATAATTACAATAATTATAATAATAATAATCATAATTATAATAATAATAATAATAACAATAATAATAATAATAATAATAATCAAAATAATAATAATTATAATAATAATAATTACAATAATTATAATAATAGTAATAATAATTATAATAGTAATAATTACAATAATTATAATAATAATAATAATAATAATAGTTATAACAATAATGATCATAATTATAATAATAATAATAATAATAATTACAATAATAATAATAATAATAATAATAATAATCAGAATAATAATAATAATAATAATAATTATTATAATAATATGGCATTCAAGATCAGGTGATACCAACCTTAAACTATAGAAAATACATCATGAAAGAAGAAGCCATTGAAGATGGATGTCGTATATGCCATAACAAGTCGGAAACAATAGAGCATATCCTGACGAGCTGCACTCCCCTAGCTTCCACTGAGTATCTGAAGCGCCACGACAACGTGGCTAAAATAGTTCACCAAGAAATTTGTTATGCTGCGAACATACTAACTGACCGCACCCCATATTACAAGTACCAGCCGACTCCAGTTATAGAAACCAACAGCCATAAAATATACTGGAATAGAACAATTCAAACAGATCACACCATGGAATACAACAAACCAGATATCGTAGTTCAAGATAAAATGAAGCAAGTTACCTGCATAATTGACATTAGTGTGCCTGCCCCACATAACATAGCTGAGAAGCAGACAGAAAAGGTTCGCAAGTACTTACCACTAGCTGCAGAAGTAAAAACACTGTGGAATCAAGAAAAAGTTGAAGTCATCCCAATAGTGATCGGAGCCACAGGAGAAATACCTAAGAGTCTACATAAATATATTGAGAAACTAAATCTGCCGCAGAAACTATACCTCTCACTTCAGAAAGCTGCTATCTTAGGTAGTTGTCATATAGCACGCAAGGTCCTGAATGTAGCCACATAGACAAAGAGAAACCAATAGTCACACTCAGACGCTTGCAGTATAATGCCGCGTTTGAGGATACCACCTGCAGTAGCAGAGAATAGCTAACAGAAAACGGAATAATTATAATAATTATAATAATAATAATTACAATAATTATAATAATAATAATAATAATAATAATAATAATAATAATAATAATAATAATAATAATAATAATTATAATAATAATCATAATTATAATAATAATAATAATAATAATAATAATCACAATAATAATAATAATAATCAAAATAATAATAATAATTATAATAATTACAATAATTATAATAATAATAATAATAATAAAAGGCGAGCCCTGGGGTACCCCGTTCGTAATCGGTAGAACCTGGGATTCTACTCCATCAAGGCTAACCATCTGTCTCCTATTAACTAAGTATGATCTCATAAGCTGTGATGACTTGCCACGGATCCCATAGTACTCCAATCTGTCAAGCAGTATAACTGCGTCTACACAGTCAAAAGCCTTGGTTAAGTCACACATAGTTGCTAGAGCGGTGGTTCTCTTGTCAATGAACTCTAATGCATCCTCAAAAAAACTAAGCATGGCTTTAATGGTTGAACAGTGCTTCCGAAAACCAAATTGGGAAGCTGAAAGGAGGGAGTGCTTTTCAAAGTACTTTATTAATTTTTCCTTGATTACAATTTCGAATAATTTACTTATTAATGGAATTATTGTGATGGGCCTATAGTTATCAAGATTATCTTCATTCCCTTTCTTATGAATGGGAATGACCTTTGACAATTTAAAAGCATCAGGCCACACGCCTTCATTAACACACTTATTAAATAGTATTGTTAAAGGTTCAATGAAATCCTCACTGGCTATTTTCAACATAGCACTGTTCATACCATGGGAGTCGGGTGAGGGTGAGTTTTTTAGTTGAGCTATAGCACATCTCACATCTGTTTGGAGTATCGCACACATGAAGAACGAATGCGGTGTCCTGGGAGTACGGTTGAGGAGATACAAGTAATTAATAGTAGGCTTTTCAATGCCCTCAAGAATTTTACAAGAAATAGTACTGAAAAAACTATTGAATTCATCACTTGAGACGTTTGTGTGTTTCTGTTTCCTGATGCCTCTCTCGCTATCGACTATCTTCCAGATTGCTTTAGTTCTATTTTCCGCCTGGTGTATCATTTCAGAGTAAAAGTTCCTTTTTTCCAATTTCAATTTTTGACGGTATATTCTACGTATATCCTTATACCTCTCCCAATCACGCTCATCCCCGCTATGCGAAAACTGGCTCTTTGCGTTCACCATATCTTTCCTTAGCTGCTTCAGTGTCTGCGTATACCACTTAACTTTGTGAGCTGACTTATCCACAGCTTTTAACGGAAAACAATTATCCATACAATTTGATATTAAACGGTAGATACTATTTGCCATGTTATCTGCAGAGTTAGAATCTACGTTCATGTCGGACGCCATACTATGGATTCTGTTGGCAAATGAAACCATTCTTTTTTTGTAATAATGCGTCTTTTGGGCAGTTTGATTGAATGAATCTCATCTTGTAATATAAAAAAATCACAAAAAATTCCTAAGTGGTCGGAAATGTTCAAATCTATTGTCCCTTTCTCAATATTATCATTGTTCAAGTTGGTCAATATATTATCCAAACAAGACGCCGAAGTAGGTGTAACTCTGGTATTTTCATAAATACATTGACGTAAGCCAAATGAATTTGAAATATTAATAATTAATAATATAATAATAATAATAATTATAATAATAGTAATAATCATAATTATAATAATAATAATAATAGTAATAATAATAATAATAATAATTACAATAATAATGATAATAATAATAATTATAATAATAATAATAATAATAATTACAATAATAATAATAATAATAATTAATAAACCTGCCTGCTAATAGATGTTTCAGTCCCCAACGATGAAAACGTTGTAAACAAAGAAGCTGAAAAGAAATTGAAATACAAAGATCTCTCAATTGAAATCCAAAGGATGTGGAATCTGAGGACGAAGATAGTTCCCGTAATTTTAGGTGCATTAGGGACTATCCCAGAAAATCTACATGAAAACCTAAATCTCATACCAGGAAGGCACAGGGCAGCAGACGTGCAGGAGATTGCTTTGTATGGTTTAGCAACCATATTACGTAAGACGCTATAAGGTAATGGACTTCGTTAGGATGTGGGTAACATCATCGAAGTACCATAATGAAGATGACCAACCAAAACCGGCCCACATGGACAGAACCAGTTGAATAGATAGGGCTGTGGAAAATAAACAAATAATATTTACAATTATTATAATAATTATAGTAATAATAATAATAATTATAATAATAATAATAAGAATAATAATTATAATAATAATAATAATAATAATAACAATAATAATAATAATAATAATAGTAATAATAATAATTATTATTATAATAATAATAATAATAATAATTATAATAGTAATAATTACAATAATTATAATAATAATAATAACAATAATAATAATAATAATCAAAATAATAATAATTATAGATATCCGCGAACCGCCCAGACATAATCGTCAAAAACCAACGTGACAAAACCTGCCTGCTAATAGATGTTTCAGTCCCCAACGATGAAAACGTTGTAAACAAAGAAGCTGAAAAGAAATTGAAATACAAAGATCTCTCAATTGAAATCCAAAGAATGTGGAATCTGAGGACGAAGATAGTTCCCGTAATTTTAGGTGCATTAGGGACGATCCCAGACAATCTACATGAAAACCTAAATCTCATACCAGGAAGGCACAGGACAGCAGACGTGCAGGAGATTGCTTTGTATGGTACAGCAACCATATTACGTAAGACACTATAAGGTAATGGATTTCGTTAGGATGTGGGTAACATCTTCGAAGTACCATAATGAAAATGACCAACCAAAACCGGCCCACATGGACAGAACCAGTTCATTAGATAGGACTGTGGAAAATAAACAAATAATAATAATAATTACAATAATTCTTTGGTGCGAGTGTAAAAGAGTATAAGTCAAGATTTTGGGAAAATGAGTCAGTATACGTAATAAAACGGTGTCTATAGGCTGGTCTAAATGGTATAAGTAAATACTTCATATTAATGCTGTTATTAAACATGCACTATATAGTATAATTCTCAAAAACTTCTATTTCTGGTGGGAACATCAGCATAAGTATACTTGTAATAGGTGGCACCACCAAAGAAGGCTTGAAATATCGTGAGCGAAACAGTACAAGTAGACTTATACTGTTTTACATGCTTACATCGATAATATTGTTCCGCGTCGTTCACCACGTGTTGTATTTTGAGGTTATGTCACCAACGTGTTGCATTTTATTCAAATCTCTGTGATAACCAATACCATGGCATCAGAAAGAACCAAAAGAATGCTCAATTTGGCTCGAGCAGATCTAGGTAAGTTATTATTTTATAAATTGGCAATAAAGTTGTTAAACGTTAAACATTGGTAGGGCTGTCGCCACTTGTAGTCTTCGAACCCGTGGAAAGAACAGCTTCCATAAATGACATATTTGCTGATGCTGTGTTTGCTGCAGACGATTTAGAGGATGTCAGAGTAGACAATAGATGTACGTTTTTTGATAATACGTTAATTTGTACTTCACACGCGTAGGCGAAGTTGTATGACCTGTATATCATGTGAAACCATATCTTTCGGACGGGTTGTTTGCCGGTCTGTTTGTCTGTCAGTCAATTTGTCTGTTGGCATTTTTCTTTGCGTTCGATCTTGGTAACTATGTGCTATGGAGTCGTACTCGGTAGTTTTTTAAAAACAATACAAAAATACTAGATCATTCCCAAAATGGTTTTTATTTGTTTTTCAGGTTCCAGAAAATTTAAGATTGTATTCGGAACATTTCTTAGATGACTCAAGTTTTTTTTAACGACCCAAATCTCATTTTTGAATGTTTTCGATATTTAGAATTCTTTAGATTACTTCATCTGTTTTTTCACTATGTATTTCCAGATGAAATGCTCGTGGAGACTATGAATCAGACAGTTTCATCAAATGAGACCGGAGTTGGAAAAACGCAACTGGAGGACGCAGTTCTACACGAGCAGGATTTAGACAATGATGACAGTGTGAAGGACAAAAACTATGATCCGGAAGATGAGTTGTCATCAAACGTTTGTAGAAGCGATGATGAAGTTTCATTAGATTTGGTCAAAAAAGGTTGTGGGCAAATAAATCAGATATCCTTGAAAACACAGATGCTGCTGCAGTAAATACAAAAATGAGGTTGAAAGACGGACCTAATTCCCGGAAAAAACGGAATGAGCGGAAAGAATGTCGAAATACAGGGAGAAAATACGTTACAGCAAAAGGTAAAGAAGTAAAACAACGTAAGATGATACCTTTACCAATGTGTCGATTAAAATGTCGAGATAAAATAACAGAAACTACAAGATCAATTATATTTCAAGAGTACTGGGCTCTTGGAAACAGAGACAAACGAGTTACTTATATTGCAAACCACTCGGAGACCACGAAAACTGCAGTAAAAAGACAGAGGACAGATAATCCAGAAAAATCCAGAAACAGGGAAATAAGCCACACCTTTTACTTTAAAATTAATGGTCAGAAGACTAAAGTCTGTCGGGGATGTTTCATGAAAACCTTAGGTGAGACACAAATGTTTGTTACACTGGCGTTACGAAATTCTAGTAAGTCAGTTTCTGGGATAGTTCGTAACGATAAACGCGGTTGCCATGAACCTGTCAACAAATTTGATGCAGAGGTATTAGACCAAGCGATTCAGCACATAAATTCCTTTCTTTCATATGAATCCCACTACACTCGGAGGGTAAATGACAAAAGATATCTGGCTCCTTATTTGACACTGAAAAAGATGTACGAGTTGTACTTGGAAAATCGCAAAGTAGTAGTTTCTCGACGTATTTATGAGGCTCAGTTCCATAAGCTGAAGTTATCATTTAAGAAGCCTAAAGTTAATACGTGCCATAAATGTGACGTGCTGCAAATGAAGCTTGATATTGCTCAGGAGTCAGAAAAAGAAAGCATAAAAGAAGAAATTGACCTCCACCACGCAGAAGCAGATGATGCATATCTAAAAAAGGATGAGGATAAAAAATTCGCTAAGCAAAACACAAGTACAAAATGCTACACGTTTGATCTCCAGCAGTGCCTTCCAACTGCTTTTTTGACATCATCTGTATCATTCTACAGAAGGCAATTGTGGACTTACAACTTAACCATGCATGATCTCGGGAATGGTGAGGTAACTTGCTTCATGTGGCATGAAGCGGAAGGTGACCGCGGTGGTAATCAAATCGGAACTTGTTTGGTTTTAGAATTGATAAACCTACCTCCCAATATAAACAGGGTTATTCTGTATTCAGACACATGTGGTGGGCAAAACAAGAACTCACATGTAGCTGCAATGTTTTTAACTGTCATGCAACGAAATGCATGCTTAGAAACCATTGATCACAAATTTATGATTAGCGGACACAGTCATATGCAATGTGATGTAGGCCATGACCTCATAGAGAAACAGAAAAAAAAATTGGAGCTTAAAATTAATCATCCTCATGACTGGTACCAGCTTGTAAGGACTGTCGGGAAACGACGTAAATTTCTGGTTTAAAGAATTAACTCATGACATGTTTTTAAGCTTCTCTGACCTTTATAGAAATTCTCTTGTCCTCAGAAAAAAGGATTCAATGGGCAATCCGTTTAAGTGGCATGATGCTCGCTGGCTCAGATATACGAGAGAGCCTGGAATTTTTTTTTCAAAAACTCTCTGGATGAAACAGAACAGTTTAAAGAGCTGTCGTTAACAAGAAGGGGGCAGCTGTGGAACTATTGATCCAGGAAAGTGTTACATACGCAAACCTCCAATATCAGAAGAGAAAAATCAAATTTAATCGATTTATTGTCCTTAATATCTGAGCCCTTTAGACAGTTTTACCTTGACTTGCGAACATCAGCAACTCAAGAGGACGCTTATCCTGACGTTGTTGAATTTGATGAAGATTTACATTAATCCCATTAATCTTTCCTAAATCACAGTTTATATGAACCGCCAAGCCGTTTATATTCTGAACAGAATGTTGATTTTTTTTTAATTTTTCCAGTTATCATAGTTCTTTTGATTGTGCTTGTGATAGCATAAGAGTAGTATATCTATAGGCGTTCCCGACCACCTAAAATAGCATGTGAAATTGTACCGTAAAACTTATAGGCGTTCCCGATCACTACACGTTCTGGACCAAAGTACGTTCTAGACCAGTCACTCTAGACCAAATTACAAAAAAAAAAAACCGTCGTTTTTCAACGCCTTTTTGCCACCATCCCCCTTAGTCGCGCGCGCGCGTGCGCATGCGCATGGGGCTCGTTCTGGCGAGCGTACTACTGGGGGTAGGTGAGGAGGGGGTGTAGATAGCAGAGAATAAACGATACGCTGTAAGGAGTTTATCTATCTTTATTTGTTTTTCTCACAGTTACACGTTGTTTTGAATTTAATTGTTTTATATAATAATTCCCCTTTGTCATTATAATGTACCTGTATAGTTATGTTTTTTTGTTGGTTGGTTTGGTAGGGCTGACGCTTTTTCCCTTTTATTGCAATGGCAACTTTGTTTTTGTTGTATGTTTTTGGTGGTGGTGGTGGTGGTGGTGGATGGTCCGGGTGCCGTTGATGCAGGTGCCTCCGGAGATGGAGTAGATTCTATTGATTCGGAGCAAATCAGAGAGTTGTCTTCTTCTTCTTCTGAAAGTATGTGATAATTGATGGACTCTGGACAAAAGCAGAAGTGTTTTTGACATTTTAGGCAGTATGCTGTACCGTACTGTGACATTATAACAAATAATGAAAATAATCAAGCTACAACTATATATATATAATTTGAATAGTGAGTATCGTTTGGTTTGTTTTTTTTTTTTAGAAGGAAGAGATACATAGTGATAAATTCTTCAATTGAAACTACTGGGCTATATTTTTCTGAAGAACATATAGGAAAACAAGCCTATGCATAAGCCATCTGACTCATCTCACGTTTTGTGGTAAATTATTGCATCTATAATTACTATTACTCATCGGTTTTTTACCAATCTATATGCAATAATTTACCATAAAACGTGAGATGTGTCAGATGGCTTATGCATAGACTTGTTTTCCTATTTATTCTTCAGAAAATATGACCCGCTAGTTTTCAGTTGAAGAATTTATTACTATGCATCTCTTCCTTCTAATAAAAAACAAACCAAACGATACTCACGTTTTGTGGTAAATTATTGCATATAGATTGGTAAAACCCGATGAATAATAGTAATTATAGATGCATTATGAAATTCGCAGAACAATGCATTAGTATATCTATAGGCGTTCCCGACCACCTAAAATAGCATGTGAAATTGTACCGTAAAACTTATAGGCGTTCCCGACCACTACACGTTCTGGACCAAAGTACGTTCTAGACCAGTCACTCTAGACCAAATTACAAAAAAAAAAAAACCGTCGTTTTTCAACGCCTTTTTGCCACCATCCCCCTTAGTCGCGCGCGCGCGTGCGCATGCGCATGGGGCTCGTTCTGGCGAGCGTACTACTGGGGGTAGGTGAGGAGGGGGTGTAGATAGCAGAGAATAAACGATACGCAACTACTGTGGGGGGGGGTAGGTGAGGGGGTGTAGATAGTAGAGAATAAACGATACGCTGTAAGGAGTTTATCTATCTTTATTTTGAGGTACGTTATGCATAAACAAAACATTGTACATCTGTTTTGCTATTCTGGGAAACTTTTTCTTAAATTCTTCCACTGTATACTCTTGATCTCGATACTCTAGTTTCCACCATGACCGACTAGCTTGTGCAGTCCATATCTACCGCAATGTAATAAGTTGTCTTTCATCGTCGTTATAGGATAATAATTTAAGTGATGTCCGATCACATACCCTATAGTTCGGTTGTCTTCGTTTTTAATCACTGTACCAAATGGCAAGCCACCTGGCGTTCCATCGTATAGAACGCTGGGTATTCTTGTAGCACGACCTTGTCGTGTTGATAGATTACGTATATGTAAAATGTTCCATCTTCTTGAACTGGTACAGTGAAGTCGAGAACCTTTATTACCCGTTGATTATTAGTGTGTGACGTCATTATTGCATTTAATTAAATGTTCACAGTTCAGTGGTTGACTGATGATTGAAAAGATTACATTGTATGTAGATATATATAGTACTTAGTCATTTGCAGATATTTTTAGACGTTTAGTCATTTTGGATGCAAATTTCTCACATTTCTCCAGTCTCTTAATTTTTTGTAACTGAGTACGTTCTTTTTGTTTCAGTGTTGTAGTCTTTTACGTTCCTTGTTTAATTTTCTGATATTTCACTGAATTTCTTTTCGATAGTCTGTTGACTTTTCGTAGATAACCTCCAATTATGCGCAGTTCATCGTTGTTCACATGTTTTCTATGAGTCACAATAACCATATCATCTGTAGAACTGCTTTGCTCTTCAATATAATTGTTTACCAACTGTTGCATATCCTTTCCAGCATTACGATTTGCAGGAGCTGTGACGATACATCAATGGTGGTTGAATATTAAAAATATCATTCCGCTAAGAATTCATCCATATCAAAACTTCAGCCTACAAGAAAAAAAAAAATGAACGAATTAGCCTAATGTATATTTTTATGTAACCATGATAATAAAACTTACTGAATGTACATAATTATGTGTCAATTCCAGATTTTGAGCAGAATTTTCTTCCATGGTAACTAGTTGTTGCGAACACAGCTTGGCTACGACTGAACATAACTATCTAAGGAAAGTGAACTACTAGGAATTTGTTGACGTATGTCATGTGTGACTTTCGAGAAGTATGAGTGTTTTATGATATATGTGCCATATATGTATATAAATAATAATAATACACGCCTATGCAATATATAATAATACTGATCGTACCGCTGCGCTGTATGAATATGTGTGCTGAAGAATATTCTATAGATTTTAGTGAATACAATTCGTATGAAAAACGTATCAGTACATTTGAAAAGGATGGGCTGGAACCATTAATCCTGCAGTGCTAGCAGCAGCAGGTTTTTTTTATGTTGGAAGTGAAGATATTTGCCAAGCGTTTTGTTGTGGGATAATAATGTACAAATGGAAGGATGACGACTGTCCTATTAAGGATCATCTAAAATTCTCAAAAAATTGTGACTATGCTAAACGAATGCAGAAGCTATTGAATAGAATGGGAAAGAAGACGGACAAGAAATTTGATATAATGCATCATGTGATTTTACTTTTAGCTTCATATTTATTAGTTCATTTTGTAAGTTCGATAACATTAACGATTAAATAAAACGATATACTTACAACAAGAATTTTATTTTGTAAATATTATCAATATTCACACAATTTGGAACCTTAATTTGGTACATTGTTACAAATATGAATATTTCTAAAGCTAACAATCATTTTTTTGTTTTTGTTCATATTCCTCAATACACTTTTTGAGGTTATGTAATTTTCTCAGATAGGCATCTATTGAAGCGGCTACTGTAGTGTGGTCCATCTTGTTGCAAGGATGACTGACAACTATTTTCTCGTTAACGCAAGAAGCCACTCTTGAAGCTCAGCACAGTTCCTTAAAGCACACATACATAGTCTCAAACTGTGATGTAGACATCGTGGTTTATTTTTATTGAAGTTCAACACATCTAGACTGGTCTGGAGTACATCTTCTAAGTTTATGATTTCTGGTTGGAATTCCTCATCGCGAAGGGAAGATAACAAAACTAGTTTTGATGTCCTTTAACGTATACAAAATCAACGTCTGATAAATGCGACTTGATGATATCCTTCAATTGGTGCTGTTCCAAGAATCCAGAGGAATATTTCAAACCATGATAATTTTTTTCCAGCCATCGCACTTGCACTTTATCGTTTGTATTTAAGAAACAAAACGGCGTCAATGGTTTAAAAATATAGTGGGTTATCTGGTTACTAATTGAAATCGCTAATTCTTTAGCTAAAAACCCGTTTGAAAGTTGAAAACCTTGAACATCTACTGCTGCTATTTTCATTGCGTAACCGATTAAGATAATTCTAGTACTACGCACCACGACTGACTGAGAGCTTCGACTGCTAGTATGTTACATTTAAATTAGTTTCCGAACAATTTCGCTTAGCGGTAAATACTCTATCACAGAATCATGAATAATAATACAGTAAGTTCTAGTATCAGCGGGAAAACCTTCAGCAGATTCAAATTCTAGTTTTACATCAACGGTGGACGACTTTAAATCTTCGCTTCGCTTGGAACAATCAATAACAAATAAAGCATGAGTTTTGAATGTAGAATAGTCCAAGTAATCCGTGTTTATCGTTATCATTTGAATACGTTTTGGCAAATTGCGAATACATATGATGAGCTTCCATATATTTATTATTTTTAAAATCTAACTTCATATCTTCATGAGGATAATAGTCCGAATTAATCATTAACTTTATGTTGTAAGATTTGCGTTATCTAATATGTGCTTATCCGCTTTTGCTACATCTTTTCTAGCTGTTTGAAAGCAACAATAACAAATCTTGGAAACTTCTATAGCTGAACTTGTCTTACTGACCATATAGTTTTCGTGGCATTATGAGGTAAGGATGTAATTCATGTATTGACCACTTTCTAAACCCACAAGTATAGAAGTATCATTCTTTATCTTGTTAAGTACATCCAATTTTAGCGCATCATTTAGAAATATGTGTTTAACTTTAAGTTCAATAGAATTTATCTGAATGGTAGCCGTTGCGTCACCAATGACCTTTAGACAATTATGATCGTGTCTGGAACGAACCAAACGTATAGTATGCCTTCCAAACATTGGTTTTCTATAATCAAGAAAAAAACCGAGAAGATGCCATAAGGGTATGCGAAATGAAAACGTCATATCCGCATTCAAAATTGCATTGGATGGAAAATTCCATCCAGCTATAGCCATATGGTTACTATCGTTAGGATTGTAACATAAATAACCTCTTATCATGCTCACAATACCAGGATCACGTACACGATCTAGTTCTTTTCCATTCAATTCATATGAAATTGAATCGAACATAAAAGCACCAGCGTTATTGACTAATTCTACTTTAGCTGAAGCGGTAGTAGAATTACTTTTTAGTAACACCTTACCATCTATACAGATAGCAGCTTCATACATCGCTAACCAGGCATCTTGTTGATTAATAGTTATTTCAATTTCATCATTATTATCAAAAGATTTTACAAATGGATAATATGTACGGTATTCTTCTTTTATTACAGAGTTATCGAACGATGGATTTTCGAATATATGATGGACTGACAACATTGTATCCCAAAGATTTTAAAAACAAAACGTTTGTAGGTGTTAGTGCTTTAGTTGAAGGATGACTTGCCTTCATAAGATGATTACGAAAGACTGAATCATAAGTTGCAAACTTGTTCTTTTTATATGTGTTACTATTGGAGGTAATAGATAATCCCATTTTAAGTTAATTTTTTAAGTTCCAGTCTAACAATTATCTCTTCCCCTCTAAAGTTAACAAGCTCTCCGTTTTGGTCTAATATACGTAAACTAATGTTATTGATAGTATGTGTTTCGGATACAGGTAAATATATCAAGTTACGAGGTTGAATGTCTATAGCATAACCAGCATCTACGTCAATGGAAAATTCAAAAATTGCGTGTGACGGTTTGCTGTTATAGAATGAACCTGTTGTAATATTACAGTCAATGTGTACAGTAATCACTTTAACTATTTTCACTGGTAGATCGGACGAATGAAGAATACCGGTATCTAGTACTTTT